GGGTTTAGTCCCCAGCATCTGAATCACAACTCCCTATCATTCCAGGTCCAGGGGATCCAGCACCATCTTCTGGCTTCGGCAGAAGGGGGCATGTGCATTGCTACATATGAGCAGAAAAACTCACCCACATAAATCTCAAAAAAAAAAAAAACTATTTTTTTAAGTGACAGTTGAAGGGTGGCTGATAACTAACTACTCCAATCATCCAAAAGCTATTGGTCAGCCAATATGGTAAGAACTATTCAGCTGCTTCCCACAGTGGCCAGATATCATTTTACCTCTTCATGCAATTCTGTGAGAAGCTTTTCTTCACCATTCTTTTAGATGTATTCTTTAACAAATTCCACCTTTTTAAACTTAATAATCTAAATGTTTCATTTTATAAATTCTGCCTTAGCACTCTTGTTGCTACTCTGTCACATTCAATTTACAAATGAAAAAGTGTTCTGTAAGCATATTGACTGACCAATAGCTTTTGGATGATTGGAGAGAATCTGTAATTTGAAAACCAGGAATGTGAGATGCCATAAGTCAGAGATGTTGAGTACTGTATTCATTTTCATTTTGGAGCATTGTAAATAACTGATGCAACCTGCACAACACTACAAAATGCCTCACTGCAATTTACTATGAAGTACAAGTCCTCTTACGTTCCACTGTCCTTCCTTAAAGGTGTGTGCTGTAGAGAGGGTCTGAATCATAGTTAATCTGCACTGGTCTTGACATTTGAGGATAGTCATTGTTCTGAGTGGCATCTTGTGGCTCTAGGATTGACCCAAGGCCTCACTCTTGCTTTGTAACTACTCTACTACCAACCTGGATTTTCAGTCCTGAGTAGCCCCACCACCACCACACACACAACACACCTCTTTTTAAGATTTAAAACCTTCTAAACTGGAAATCCTGATGTTAAAATAATCCAAAACAGACTTAGTAAAAGTGCAAAGCATGGTCTGATCACTCACACATAAGACACTTGGTTTAGTTAACAAAGTATCCATTGGCATAATTACAGATGTGGGTTACCAAGTATGTAATGATGACACTACAGAAATGAGCATCTTGGTGGTACTTACCTTTTGTCTGATGAAACTGTTTAATCAGATCTTTTATATCCAGAGATGAATTCCCTGAACAAATAAGTGCAGGAAGTCAGTCAAGTAGAGACATTTTTAATTTAAAACAATTTTGCAAAGCAACAAATATAGAATCTAAAGCAATACAAACCTTCTCTAAACACAATGAGTTCTTTAAAATAAACTGCTGCAAACTGGGTGATATTTGTTGGGTTGGTTTTGAGAATGGCTCTGCTAACTCCCTCAAGCAGAGTCTTGAGGCCATAGGGTACAACAAGTCTGGGCTTTGAAGAAATCATTTTGGCAGGATGTCTGTAATTTCAACTATATTGAAGAGAAACAAAATCTTACACTGTAAATTTATTGAATTTTATGATTTAATTTGAGTTCCTAAAACCAAATATTAGAATTATTAGCTTTACTCTTAAATATTTATTCTAGTAGAATGGGATGCAATTCTTGATGATAATTTATAAAATAAACCCCACTACCACCTGCTTGCTTACTATGCACAAGCATGCAATCTAGCACTCATTAGGAAATTGATAAGTGGACCATGGTGATGGCTCATCAAGTAAAAGTGCATTCCCACAGACCTGAAGACCTGAGTTTAATTCCTTGACCCCATAAGGTAGCAGGAGAGAACAAATTCTAGAGATTGGTCCTTTAACCTCCACAAGCGGTGTACGCGCGCGCGCACACACACACACACACACTCACACACACACACACACACTCACACACACACACACACTCACACACACACACACACTCACACACACACACACACCCACACAAATCAATAAGAAAAGCCCTGCCAGTACATTCTAGTAGACAAGTTTGGTTTTTTGTTTGTTTGTTTTTCTCTTTGGTATTAGGACTTGAACCAAGGACCTTCTATAATACTAGGCAAAGCACTTTACCCACTGAGTTACTTTGTAATGTTAGGTTTACTGTGATTCTATGCCATACCTACAATGTATTGTTCTTTCTTTAATCACTTTATCCTTTCCTTTCTTCCTGTTTCCCTCCTTTTCTTCTATCTTGCTAACACCCCCACCCCCATTAGACTAGGCTGGTCTGTAACTCTCTCTGAAGACTAGGCTGGCCTCAAACTCAGAGATGCACCTGCCACTGCCTCCTCAGTGCTGGGATTAATGGTTTGGGCCACCATATCCATCCCCTTGCTGACTTTCAAGTGGCACTCTGAGTATTATATACTCTTCCAGGGTTGTTCTAACTTTTGTCATGGGTTATGTTACATACAAACATGTTGGGTTGCACTTATAGCTATTATGGGATACAGGCTGCAAGTTGAACACATCTAGACTTATAATTCTCATGGGAGTAGAGTTTGTCACCCCTAAATTGTGTGTTCACTCTGAAACATGAAAGCTTGCAAATAAGTAAAAAATTGAATCTCTTTAGCAAGGGAAAGATTACAGAGCTGCCAGTCTTTCGCTTTGCTAAATATGGGTATTAAATTGGGTTCCGAGTTACCAAGGAGCCACCAGATAGGAAAAAGGTGCTTAAAAGATTCAGACTTTAAAGTATTTTTTAAAAAATGGTTGCTTAGGGGAAATCACAGCTGTTCTAGACACAGCTTCCTTAAGAATGCTTCCCAGGGGTGCTTACAAAGAATAGACCACTGTGGCAATCATGTCCTAACAGCCTTACATGTTTCATGGGACTAAGTGGCATAGTTTAGTTATTGCAATTATATCGAGGGCCAACTTTTAATAAAAACGCAATATGCCACAGCAAAATGTTTTTATTTAAAAGCGCCTTTCACGTTCTTACCAAAGGCTAGGCAAAAATACATTTTGACCCAAGCGAAACTTTTGAGACTACAATTAAATGTTGAATCCCTTGCTCATCGGGTGCATTACTGAATTAAGCCATCTTTTGGGGGAAATGCAGCTTTGCCACACCCACACACTAAATGGCAGTGATCTCCAACACATAAGCACACATAAACATACATATGCATATATGTTTTGGGGTTTTGTTTTCAAATAGGCACCCCGGGGGAAGGTTTCAAAGTGACCTGCAGGCAAAATGGAGCCAGCACAGCTCCGTCTCCTTAGGTAATTAGTGCTACCAACCATGCGGCAGCCTGGGATGGCGCTAACTATGTCTCAGTTTAGAGACACTGGAAAGCCAGGGATGCTGACTGTCCCTAAGAACGTTCTTGAATGTGAAAAGGCCCTGGCAGTAGCGATGTGGCACCAGATCTGTCACCAATCCAGTTGACGGTGGCTTTTCAATGCTGATAGCTTAGTTGCTCTTAATTTTTCAAGAACCCTTTCCAAGAGCGA